GTAGTAGAAGTAGTAGTAGTAGTAGTAGTAGTAGCAGTAGCAGTAGTAGTAGTAGTAGCAGCAGTAGTAGTAGCAGTAGTAGCAGCAGTTGTAGTAGTAGTAGTAGTAGTAGTAGTAGTAGTTAGTGGTAGTAGTAGTAGTAGTAGTAGTCGTCGTCGTCGTAGTAGTAGTGTAGTAGCAGCAGCACTAGTATAGGTTGCACCATCAGTAGCAGGAGTAGCAAAAGTAGTAGTCATCATCGTCGTCGTAGCAGCAGCAGCACCAGCTGCAGCAGCAGTAGTATTTGTAGTGGTGGTAGTGTTTGTGGTGGTTGTGGCTCCAACCAGGGTCATCCTACCGGCTGCATAAGCTGTGGTATGCTATCTGTATGGGGTCTTGTTGAAGCCGTCTTTGCTGTTGCCTTCTAGATAGTACTGAAACTCCGCGAGTCCTGACTGTGAGTACCCCGAGTACCCCTTTCTGCTAACTGTTTACTTTTGCGATTACAAGTAGCAGCCTCCTGTGCATGACCACTTTAAGGGATCAGTCCACGAGTTGACTGGCGAACTCCGCCCCAAGATCGTAACCCCTTCGAAATAACGCCCTCCACAACTCCCTAAGCGGCTTGTTAGACTTACGTGGATGGGGGTTCTTAAAACGGGGCATACGGGCCCATTTTGGGAAACTCCAATGTGGCTACAGTTCCCAAGCTAAGCTGTGGCACTGCAGCGCCATCCAGTGCTGTGTAACTGCAGCTCTGACGACCTGCTGGCAGGATCCGCCAACACTTTGGATGACTATGACTACAAGGCGTACTATAAACGGCAACTATGACAAGGGTTAAGGGGAGTACCAAAAAGTGATAAAAGTAAAATGTTAGGTAAAAAGGTTTCTATAAGAGGGTTACTGTAACGGTTCTCTAGAGAGAGGAACTTGACAATCAACCTATGGATTCCTTAACACGGATGCTCTTATTTCAATATCATACGGATCCTCTTCGTTCGGGAAACGTAGCATCGAAAGTCGCACTAGACTCCTATATCGGATGTCTCGTTCCATTTAAGGGTCGGAGCAGAAACAGAGCAAGCCGAAGAAACACCGCAGAGCCCTGAGCCTTCGCTCAATCTCACAAAACTCCATCCTAGGACAAAAGGCGTTCCTCTCCGTCCGCACTCCTTGATAAGCTTCTGGCTTACAGTAGGGGCCTGAAAAAAAAATATATATATATATATAGAATATGGTTTTGTGGTATATTATACAATAACTATCATAAGGAACCACCAAAATACTGTTGATGATATAAAGCCTGCATTACCTTGAGAACCCTAAACCATGGTAATTACGGCATATTCATATTCATTATTATGGGTAATGCAGGATTGATAACATCAACCGTAGTATTTGTAATAATTGGGGCCCCTATATGAAGGCTAGGCTGAGCATGTCGGGGTTCGGATGTTCAGGGGTTCAGGATGAAGTAAGTTCAGGACAATTCCTGGGAAGCAAAGTAACCCGAATCCCTGAACCCTAGACAGCTTCAACACCGACATGACCCTGAAACGCAGTGATGAAACTACTGTGAACTCCAAACCCAAGAATCCAAGACAAAAGAGTTGGGAAACCCTAAACCCTAAATCCGAAAATGCCAAACCCGAAATTATGAACCCTTTTTGCATCTGGTACCCTAAACCCTAAACCGCAAAACCCGAAATCCTGAACCCCTTTTGCACCTGGTACCCTAAACCCTAAGTCCTAAACCCTAAATCCTGAAACCCTAAACCCTATAAACCCAAAGTCCTAAACCCTAAACCCTGAATGGTGCGAAACCCTGCCTCAACATCCCCGCGGAGCACCTCGGAGGCCTTCAGGCTGCGGAAAGGGCCGGGGGGAAGAAGGGTTTAGGGTTTAAGGTTTAGGGTTTAGGGTTTAGGGGTTTAGGGTTTAGGGTTGCGACTCTCACTCTCGCACGCAGCTGGCAAGGCTCCACATATGTCCCTCACGCGTGGGAGGTGTCAAGCTTGACAGGTTGAAACCCTAAACCCTAAACCCCATAAGGGTTTAGGGCTTAGGGCCTGCATCAGAAGAACCATGTTTGTGTAGGGGGTTATGCAAAGATTCTTTGAACTTTAGGGTCTTGTAGGCTTTGATATAGGGGGCCTGGCTGATCAGCATAGGAGTGTTGTGAGGTCATTTGCCATGTACTTAAATGGGAATTCTGCAGTTCCGGTCTACATTCCGGGGGTTAAGTGTAGCGCTTCAAGGTTTAGGGCTTAAAGCTTCGGTTGAGTTTCGGCTTTCAGGTTTCCTCGAGCTATTTAGGGGATGAAGATACGGACGTTTCTGTGAATTGGGGTCGTATGACGCGAGAGACGTCTTCTCTTGGGGATTCCAAAGATGAGACTACAAGTTCAAGACCTACACATACCCTGTTCATAGATGCTGCAACCCCAAAACTCCATGATCCTAAGCCCCATAAGCCCTTCAGCCTGAATCCTGAAACCCTTCGGCCAGGGATTGCCCTGCAAGGGCGAAAGCTCCGCACTCAAAAGAGGGTCTTGCATGTGGTCTATAAAGTAAAATTGAAAATAACGGACCCTGAAGAATAATGTTGCTGATTATTCCTGCGTTTATATTCCTAGTAGCAGCAGTCATCATAGGAACCGGTTACTGCCACTGGCTACTGCCAGGCTGGCCATCTTGTAGCGACAACACATTGACTGCACCTCCAAAACATTTAGGTGAAAGCCCTGCTTCCTGCACAGTCTGTCGTTTCTTGCTGCAGAACCTCAGGGAATCCGGTCATCAAAAGGGGAGACATGCTATGATGAGCCCGGATGCTTAACCCTCGGCGCTATAGGCTCTATTGGCTTATAGCACATTTGATGCGACGAGCGTCGTAGCGCAACGCGGAGCCGGAGTTCGACACCGCTTGCAGCACGAGCTCCTGGTTCACGACATGGGGTTATAAGTAGTTTGGTGTGCAAGGCCCGCAAGCGAGGTTCCGGGAGTACGAAGCCCTCGATGTGGTTGCAAGGGCATCTGTGTCTGCATCAGAGTTCTTGAAGCTGGTAATCGTTTCTGGACGTCTCCACCTTGCATTGCGACCCTAGTCCGAAAGGGCAACCTACCTGTATTACGGCCATACGACAGGCTTGCCCTTGCGAGGGTATCTGCTGGGGTTCGACCAAGTTCAGGAGCCCTGGCAAGCTTTCGCGGCCTAGCGCAGTATCAAACCGAACCCTTCTGAAGAAACTTTGCCGCTGGCGCTTCTTGGGGAGCCTATATTTCTGAGCTGCTTCTAAAAACGGCCCCATAAGGCAGTCAGTCCTTGTCGTTGCGCAACTCATTGTTGAGGGATCCTGGGCTGCCACACTATACTTGTCGTCATGTTGCTTTGTCTTCCTTTAGCTTGGAAAAGCTGCATGCCTCTGAAATCTAAATCCTGCTGCGTGGGCGGTCATGCGGGGCTGCAGACCTCAGACCGTGGGTTTGGTGCACACCTATTATTATTATTACTATTATTAGTATCATTACTATTATTATTATTATTACTATTATTACCTTGGGAACCCTAGACAGGCAAGTTTCTAGATATCCCGGATGTTTCTGGAAATCTGGTAAAACAAGTGTCATTTGCTCTGAGGCTGACCGAGTGCAGTGAGCTCTCTTCAGTCATTTGATGATTACAGGCCAGCATGCACTCACAAGATCTCACATGTGTTCGAGGTAGCGTGTATAATGCAGTTATACATTAGATGGATGGAGCAATAGCACAACACGAGGAATCTTCCATTGCTTCTCAAATTCTGATAGATCAAATAGTTCAATTCATACATATTTCTTTCTGAATCGCCTGTGCCACTTCCCGGCATGGTGATTTATGGGACCGAAGGTGCAGCTGGCTCGCTTGCTTTTCAAAGTTTGGCTTGCAATTGCAGCTGCACGCACTTTGGCTTCGTTGTTCTGAAATGTAAAGTTGCAGCCGTTCAAGGATCAGGTTGCAGGGATTCACGGTAACGATCGTGAAATCATGGCTATCGTGCCTGTAGCGGAGCTTGCCGCCACGGCTGATCAGACTTCTTGGTGGGCGGGGCTCGCTGAAGAGTGGGAGGCTATCCCACTCTTGAGGGAACGCATGCGCAAGGGATTGCATTTGCTGATTCCGCATCCGCTTTGCAAGGATGACACTAAGCCGTCCCCTGATTTTGTGGAACGTTCGGTGCACAATTGCCGCCAAAACAAAGATGTGTTGATTCCGGCAATGAAGCGCTGGGCGGCCAACGGCCCGGAGACTGTGCCACAGGTGGATTATCTTTATCATGAGGTGGAGCGGTTCTTCCAGACTTGTTGCCGGGAAGATTTGACCCCGGGCGACACCCACATGGATGCCTAGACGCTGCGAAAACTCATGACATTGGTCAAATCCCTGCTGTCAAAGATGCCTACAAACTTAGACTGTAATGGACTTGATTATGGTAGCATGAGCCCTTGCCTTTATTGTACAATCGTAGTTTCTGTGACCCAAGGATGAGATAATGGCCGAGATTTTCCTTGCCTTTGGCTATGAAATTACGGTCCAACAGCATCTTGATGCATCCGAAGAGCCCGAGGTAGGGGGGGGATTACAAGCTCGCTCGCACACTATCCTTTTTTCCTTTCCCACGCCGCAGCGCAGGTGGAGCGGATCGAGGACCTCATGGATACGCCGGAGGAGCATTCTGAGTCCGAGGATGAACGGGAAGAGGATGCTTTAATGGAGCTTGGGAATGACGATGGGGAGGATGGGCTTCCTACTGATGGGGAGGATGGGCTTCCTACTGATGAGGAGGATGGGCTTCCTGATGGGGAGAATGGGCTCCCTGCTGAGTCCGTGGATGGGCTCCCTACTGAGGCCGTGGTTTTGGACGAGGCCTTCAAGGGTGCTTCTGAGCGGCCGCAGACAGTCGGCCGCCCCGTTGCCACGCCGCAGCTGCGGTCCTGCAAGCGACCCGATGTTGCAGTTCCCCCTGCCCCTGTCGCGACTGAGTCCTATGAGCATCTGGGTTCTGTATCTTCGCTCTGCGATGCTTTGGATGGCAAGTTACATATCGGCGAGAATGATGCCGCTAAGGATTCGTAGTGAGTGTATATGCATGAATCGCAGTAAGATCGTAGAGGCTTTGGGCTTTGTATGCATTTTGGACCCCACACTATCTATTACGCGATCGCAGGAGCCTTTGGATGGTGAGTGCATCGATATTTCCGATGACGAGCAAGCCCTTCCTAGCGACCCGGCAAAAGATGCTCTTCTTCGCAAACTGCAGGAGCTACAAGCCCGACTTCGTGCAACTGCCCCGACGGCTGACTTGCCGGCAACGCCTTCAGTGCCTGCTCCCCCAAAGTTGACAGGTTCTGCCATGGACACCATCGAAACCCAGATCGACCTTCAGCCCTTAGATGATGTGCCCTCGAAGGCTCCAGAGACCATCGAGGAGAAGCCATCGGAGGCTCCAGAGCCCATCGCGGAGAAGCCGTCGGAGGAGCACGTTGAGGACGATCTCCTGTCAGCAACTTGCCGAAAATTATCCAGTGCATGTGCAATGGTCGTAGAATATCGATACTTCTGATCAACTTCTGACGTGATCTCTGAGGGTCTTCCCGAGCTTGGTGTTTGGGAAGGGGTGTCACGCAGAGACCAGCACTCGATGGTGGCCCTTCGGAAAGAGGCCAAGGCAGCCAAGAAGAGCAAGAAGAACGAGGGTGCATGTGGGCCCAAAGTGCCTTGTTTAAATCCGTCGCAATTACATGACAGTCGTGATTAGCAGGATGTGTACGGAACAGATTGTAGCCATGAGCCATCATACATCCCAGGTGAAGTCGATTCTCAAGAACGGCAAGAGTCTTCGGCGAATCAAGGGCATTAAGAAGCGGATTGGGAAGGCCAAGCGGGCCAAGGGAAGGACCTTGGTTTCTGAGCCGGTTGTCGAAGAGCCTCTGCATTCCTGTCCCCCTACCACGACCACGAAACCTTCTAGGAAGAAGTCCAGCCCCAAAGCCAAGCCCGCACCGAAGCCAGTCCCGACACCCAAGATCAGGGCAAAGAGTGCCCCCAAGCCAAAGAGTGCACCCAAGGCTAAGGCCGCCCCAAAGAGTGCACCCAAGGCTAAGGCCGCCCCCAAGAGTGCGCCCAAGGCTAAGGCCAAAGCCTCAGCTGCCAAGAGGAAGGCTGCAGAGCTGGAGTCGAGTGCAGGTCCCACCAAGGGTCGGGGCAGGGGAAGGGGAGGCAAAGGCAAAGGTGGCGGCAAAGGCCGCGGGAGTCCTGCAGCCGCCATTGCAGAGCCTGCAGCCGGCTCCGGTGATCACCAGCCTGACCAGGGCAAGGTTACGATTCTTTCCAAGTACCTAGAGCAGTTTGGTAAGATGCCTTACGAAGCGACTGGCTTGGAGCTTCACAAGCGTAAGTGGAGCAAGAATCTGAGACTCAACATCTACTGGTCGAGACAGGCCACTGGTGTGAAACTCAGAAAGGCTGGTCTGGGCGAGAAACTCAGTGAGTTGGTCTACTTTTCGAAAGCTTCATGCCCCACAGCTACGATTGCAACGCACATCCAGCTTGCGATTTGGGTGGTCTCATCCTGATTTGCTGCCAATGTGTCCACATATACGCAATACCAGCCGAAAGCTTTGCATGGTTCACATTCTTAACTTAGGCTGAAAAGCTCCATGAGGATAACGGCTTCCTGAACAGCGACGCTGGCCAGGCCTTTGTTGGGATGCTCAAGGCATCCATGGCAGCAGCTTGGCAGAGCTACAGCGCGAAGCCGTGATGGTCGGCCGCATCTCTTGCTTTACCTTGATTCCACTGGATTCCGGTAGACGCCCATGTGCGATCGTGTTTATTGTGCCAGCGGTATACAGTCTAGCAGGTGCAAAGCATAGAATAAAGCAATGCTGATTCTGGATCGATCCATTGGGCCCACGGAACCTTTTCGGATGGGTGTATCTCAGATTCGTCTGGATAATTATGGGGCTGCACAAGGCACCCGTTTCACGAAACGGGTGGTAGTGTGTTGCAGTGCAAGTGCCAGCTGCGATCACTGCGACTCGGGGTCCAAAAGATATGCTGGGCACTCTTTGCAAGCAGAGTCGTGCACGCTGCCTCTTAATATAAATGAATGAATCACTGCCCTCTCCCCTTGCGGCCAGGTCATCAAGCTGTGCAAGAGCCGACTACGAGGCCTCGCACTCGCTGCTCGTAGTGGCCGCTTCGTCGGCCGCCGTGGTCCCGCCTCGGTTAAGGATTTCAGTTGAGGAGCTTTTTGCAAAAACCACTGAAAGGTCGTCTGCAGATTGATGCATGCAATATTGTGCCGGCTCAAACGCTTCAGGTGCTTTAGGCTTGCTTTGGTGCCCTGGGATTACATTTCGGGTTCGGGAACGATGCTTCCGGAGAGAGATGTAGACATGTTGGTCTGGCGGTTGTCACATCTGCGAGCTCCGAAAGTCGCTCGTCCGTTCCAATTCTAGAATGCTTGAAGCAGCTATCCCTCCGCAACCCCGGGTTCGGCTTGCGCCCCAGGCTTTTGTGTTCCTGGTGATAATGGTGGCCTTCACAGACTTTGGCAAAATGCCCCACGAGGCGCAATGGCAATGGCTGTAGTATAATTTTAGAGCACATGGTCAAAATCTAAACTCTCTAAAGCCCCTTAAAAGCCCAGCATAAACCCAGTAAACCCGTTGGTGCTTGACAGGCTTTCAACTTCATCGAGCTCTTTGCCGGCCAAGGCAACTGTTCGAGGCTGTTTCGGTATGCAAAGATTTCAGCAGCTTCGGTCGACTTAAAGTATGCCAAGCATCTGCAAGACATTTGTGGCGATGAAAACCCCATGGACATCAGCACCTCTGCAGGGTTTTCGTTCCCAGGCTTTTTGAGTACTGTTCGTTGCTGCATGTACATACTATATGCATGGGTATGATCGTTCGAAATCCAAGCCCTCTCAGGCTGTGTGTGTGGATGATACTACATGCCGACCCCGGCCGCTTCCTTGTGGTCATTGCTATGGTATGCACTTCTTTTACAACGATCAATATGGCAACCAATGGGAGGAGTGCCTTAACTCCGTACGGCAACGAATCGTATCCCTATGTCCAACAGGGCAACATCTTCCTTGAACGGAATCTAGCCTGCAATCTGCTACTGTTGACACAATTCATAATGTCGAACTGCTGTGTTCGTACGATGCAAAGCCCGTTGCAGTGTGGGAAGGAGAGGGAGAGATAAAGAGAGAAAGGAACAGAGCACAGGTAGATATAGACAGAGAGAGAGAGAGGAGAGAGAGAGGGGAGAGAGAGAGAGAGAGAGAGGGGGAAGATAGAGAGATAGACGTTTTAGAGATCGAGAGCTTACAGAGATATCGCCAATTATATTATTTATATATCCAGCCCCCCTCGATTGTTTTTTCCTCGGCTCAGTGGTATTGATCCAGAATATCTACATCAGTCTTATGGCTGCGAATCTATCCACTTATGGTGTGGGTCAGGACCCAGGGTTTTGCTCCAGGGTTGTGTTGTCGGGTATTTCGAATCCCTTGGGGCTTGATGCTTTCGGATTCAGAGTGTAAGGGGTATAAGGGATTGAAATTTACAAGAAGTAATATATATATATATATATATATATGCTGTTATAATATGGACTTGTGGGGCTTCATAACTTGTGCAGGTATGGCCAGGAGGTTTGGAAGGATACTTTGGGTGTTCGGGGCTTCTTCGTGGGAATTCCGGCGGGTCCGGTAAGCTTTGGAATCTACGGTGTTCGTGTTGCGGGCCGGTTCTGATCAGGTTTGGGTTTTGCTTTTTTTGGGGGGCGGTTCTCTCTCCCTCTCTATATCTTTCTCCCTTTCCTCTCGCCCTCTCTCACGCTCCCTCTGTTTTCCTCCCTTCCTCTCTCCTTCCGTCTCCGTCTCTTTCCCTTGCTCTATGTCTCTGTTTCTCTCATCTCTCATTGCTCTCACTCTCTCTCCCTCTCTGAGTCTGTCTCGTGCTCACTCGCTCACTCATGTACTCTCACGCAAACACTCTAATATTGTAGCTCGCATATTATGATATAGGCTCTGATTCTCTTTCTCTGTCTCTGCCCAGGGTGGCCCTACTATGCGTCCTGACCGTGGCTCGGGGCGGCTCCTTCTTCTTGGAGCAGCCTGCATCTTCGTGGTTCGTCTGGCACCCTGCTCTGGAATTTCTGAAATTCCACACAAGGTTGCCAGTGCCTTGTACCGAACAGAAACCCGAGTCCCGAGACTACTCTAAATGTCCTGAACCCCCGGCCCCAAACAACACTTAGGTCTACGAAGTTCATTGGTGGATGATGAAGTATTCCGCCCCGACACCGAAAAGAAGCATGGCATTCTCCAACAACCCCTGGTGTAAGATGATGGATCAAGGTAAGCTTCGGAAGGATGAGAAGGAGGCCCTCACCACATCGTGTACGTCTGCTACATCAATTCATTTCACCGATGCTGATGGAAATGATCGTTATTCGGGAACCCCTGCAATCAAAGACACCCAGCCCCTTTCTCGCGCAATAAGTGGGTTGGCTTATTATATAATCACCGAGAAACTGCCTTTTGGTATCCAAGGATCTATCCGGTGCCCTTCGCCATCCAGATGGTGCTGCTGGCGCCACAGCTCCTGACGGGAGGACAAGGCTTGCCGACGATGTCTCTCGAAGAGGAGACATCGTTGGATGCAAAGCAAGTGTTTGCTGAGATGGGTTTCGATGACACTGCAGGCCTTTGGTCCCGAGCAGGCTTAGTGGAGGTTTGTCATTATGTGCGGGGTGGCAAAGCCCTTCGTTGCCCAGCTGACTGGAAGGCTGTGTTCCCAAGAGCAATGTAGTAATGATATAAAATACAGAGGCTGCGGGATATTCCAGTAAAAAACATTTAGATCAGTCTTTAAATCACCTAAAAAGTGCTCTTGAAAGCCTTTCCGGACTACAGTCGGCTACTGCCATACAGTGCCCGGGGTGAAATCCAAAAAAAGCCGAAATCATTCCAGAAGCTTCCGAAATAATTCCAAGAACTCCCGAAACCCGAAACCCCGAACCCAACTCCAAAAAAACCCGTAAAGCGTAACAACTCCAAAAAAGCCCGGGATGTTTCCAAAACTTCCCGGGGAAAAAGCGTAACGGTAATTCCAAAACCTCCCGGGATAATTCCAAAAAACCCCGAACCATCCCAAAACCAGGTCTGCGCAAAAGTCACTCCTAACTCACCAATTCTACGACGCTTTGCCACCTCAGATTGGAGTTTTGGAGCCCTATTGGTGTCAGCGGCTCCTTGCCCCATCGGTGCCCATGGCCGATCGTGAACCCCGGAGCCTCCAGTCCAGGACATGGTCTTGTTCGGGTTTGCAACGTGGTGTGAGCCACGTAGTCCAGGTTGCAGCAGGTGTTAAGATGGAGCCGGAGCAAGAAGTGGAGCAACGGGCTGCGTGTATGGAGGCAAAGATGTTGAAACAGCAGATCATGGATTCCCAGCTGATTACATTTTTGTAGCTGCTCACCTTGCTCAGCAACCCAAATCTCAATACCATGGTATTTGATCCGAACTCAGGAAACCCAGCGAGCCCTGGATATGCTACACGAAGCTGAGGTGTGCTTGCTGCTAGCTAGTGCATGCACGTAGTGACTCGATCTGAGTGTGCTCCTTAAGATGTGTTTGCAGGCTGGACGAAAACTTCTCAATGCTTCCGACTTGGCCCAGCCTGTTGAGCCTGCTGGTTTTGCGGGTGAGGCCTAGTGCACTAAACCCAACTACACCCGAAAACCCTGCCTTTCGAAGTTGCACAGGAGCCGCTGCAAGCTGTGCCGGAGCTTCCTCGGCAGGCGGGGATGAATGTCCGAAGCACACAACTCCATCGAAAATAGATCGAGCTTGGGTTTGTTCTCGACCAGGAGGCTGCTGTGGCCGAAGCCAGTG